GGATAAGATGAAAAGAGACGAAAGGGAATGAGAGGATGATACCGAGAACGAGGAGGACCCAGCACATGTTTCACGACTCTGGTCTCTTCCTCATCCCCCGCCTCCTGTCCCCCCTCTCCCTCCTGCTTCCCCTTCCGTTCCGCTTCCTTTGTCACTCCGTCCCTTCTGCTGCAAGTGGGGTGTGGACGATGAGGGATGGAATGATGGTGGAAGGGGGATGGAATGAGTTGGAGCCCAGTATTAGATTTTGGCCTCAGCTGGCATGGTCCAAGCGTGGAGCACATACGCCTGGCGTTGCGTGGCCGCCTGCTGAACCACCGTGGCCATGGCGCACACGCGCGCACACCAAGCGGGAATACCTCCCAATACTGGTCTGCAAAATACTGCCAGCCGCTCTGCTGCAACGCTTTCGCCTCTCCCGACAGGCGAAGCTGCGGGGCGCGGCTGGCGAGCTGCGGCTTAAGCCTTCCTTGCCCACCTGGAGCACGCGCCCGTGCTCCCGCGGCAGCGCTCAGCACCGATCCACGTCGTTTTGCTTGCGCCTCTATCGCCCGCGCGTCGGACTCGAAGGACTCGAGCTCGCTGGAGGACGCGCGCTCCTGCACACGTGGCCGCGGCGGCGGCTGCAAGACCCGGTTGTGCACCCGAGGGTGCGACTGCCGCGCGAGGCACCCGTGCCGCCCACCTCGGGAGGCCTCGGGAGAGGCCGGCGGTCGTGGCCCGCGTCCCCGCCGCGATCCGCAGCCCCCCGGGGCGCCCCCGCCGCGCCCCGGCGCCCATGCTGCTGGGTGGGGTCGCTGGCCCCAGGGAGTGCCTCGAGCCGCCGCTGTTGGACAGCGGAGCCCCGAAGGGAAGAGGGTTCGTCTCCGCCGACATTCGCGCGCAAGCTGCTCGCGCAGGGTCGCGTGCCAGCGCCCCCGTTTCCAGCGTGCCAACGTAGCGTGCCGCGCTGACGTCCCGCGTAGGCCACCGCTCACCTTTCGCTGTCGTCTCGCATAGGACCCGTTTGGTTTCGTCGCCCAGTTGCCGACCCGCGGGCTGTGATGGGGGCCTCGAGCCGCAGCGTTCCAGGCCCCACCCTCCGCGCCTTTGCCTCCCCGACCGGAGGGGTTGGACATTGCCATCGCATCCAGGAGTACAACGGAATCATGGGCAACGATAGGGGGGCATCGGGACGGGGGGGATGCATCGACCCCAATTCGCCTGCAGATCGCCGCCAAGGGTCTTCTAGCCCCGCCCTGCCCTATTCACAAATAGTCCAAAAATTGTCTGGGTACCATGTTTCGACTATTTTCTGATCATTTGGCATATCTTTGACTATTTTTCATCTTGTTTGGACAGCCCGCCTGTGAGGGGACATGCCAGTCCCCCCCGCCTGTTGCCCCATCAAGGAGTGCTGGCTGCTCGCCCGAGCGGCGCTCAGCTCCTGCCAGGCACACCCAGCGACCGCGCGCGGCATCGGGGTGCGATGCCGCCACCTCCTCCTCCCGGTTTATGATGTGCCAACCTATTTTAGCCTTGGCCACCAGGAGAATTTCGAGCGTCAGAAAAACACCCCAAAACCCTAGGGTTTGCACGTGTCGGGCCCTGGGAGACACTGTGTCGACATTCTTTCGACACTCTATCGACACTTTTCTGGGTGCTCGAAATTATTTCCGGGATGTGGTCCTCAAGTGCGATGGGAGCAACATAACTCCCGGCGTGGTCCCGAAACCCGGGAGGAGCCGCCGTTCTGGCGCTCCCACTCGTAGGCGACTTCTCATCCCCCGATCCCCGAATACCGCCCGAAAAGCTTGGCCTCCTCCTCCTCCTCGTCCTCGTCGTCCTCCTCCTCCTCCGACAAAGTCTCGAATTGAGGTCGCCTTGTCCCCTGTCAAGAGCCACGGCTGGCAGCCAGACAGTTGACTCTGCCGAGCGCCCCCGTCAACTCGAGCGCGCGACCGGAGTGCCTCTGGTCTGGGGTCGGCCTGGGTGGAAAGGGCCGTCCGCTGGATTTGGCGCTTGCCACTCCGCCCGATCAGCCTGCCGTGTCCACCCTGTTTCACATCCGCGCGTGAGGACGCAACGACACGCTGAACGGCTGGTTGTTTGATTGCAGCGACATGCCCTGGTTTGCGTCAGGGGGGTCTGGGGGCATCGGGGGTGTCCGCGGGGTTGTGAACAGCATTGGAGTGGTGGTGCCTGTCCCACTTGGGGACAGGCACCACCACTCCGTTACGTTTGGGCCTGCCCGCCGGAGCGTCGCTGCAATCTCGCGCCCTCCCAGGGGTCGCTGCGGTCGCGTTCGGGAGCGCTCTCGGGGGCTGCGCGTGCGCTCGAGTGCGATTTCGTCTAAACGCCACCTCAACTAGGTACGGGTACGTGTCCGGCCGTGCCATCAACGCGCGTCGGCGACTGTGCCCCCCGACACGTACCCGGACCTAGCTAGGGTGACGCCGGGCGGGTTTTCCAGGGAACAGCCCCTGGCGACCGCGCCTGGCGTGCGGGGCTCCAGGCGTTT